TATAAAAAAGGTGTGAGGGGCGGGGACGGGGAGGTGTGGTTCCTTGCGCCTTTCCCCATTGCGACGTTCGCGGCACTGGTGGTGCTCGTTTGCCTCTCTAAGGAGCTCGAAGCTGCGCTGCTGTACCTGCTGCAAGGGGCCACTGTGCTCAACGGCGCATACATTAAGAAGGTGCGAGGTGGTTGCTCTCTCCTGTGCTTCCCCCTCCCGCATGGCGATTGACTGGCAATGCCCTGCGCCCACTTGCTTCCCCTCACTTGCCCTCTTCTGCCTCTTTGTTGCCTCTTCCTCCTCCCCTCCCCACTCCTCCCCCCTCCCCACCTCCCCGCGTGCAGATCCTCAGCGACGATGACTTCTTCACGGCGGTGGCAGACGCCATGTTTGACGACTGGGACGTCGCTGGAAAGGGCTTCCTGGTGTGCAGCGACGCCCTCGCCGGCTTCCGAAAACTCGGCCTCGCATACGGTCTTCCCCCTGCTGACGCGCCCGAGGCCGACAAGGTCTACACCTCCCTCTTCCTCTCTGCTGATGTCAACATGGACGGGTCGGTAGATAAGGAGGAGTTCCGTGCGGTGCTGCGGTCGCTGTTTGTGGGCATGCAACTGCAGCTGGAGGAAAAGCCGGTGGTGGTAGAATCTGCGGTTCTTTCCAAGCTGACCGAGACAGAGGTTTTTGACGGGCAGAAGATCCTCGCGCTGCTGCAGGAGAACGGCGGGCAGCGCGTGCGAAAATTCCTGGAGGAGAAATTCACAGAGATGGATGAAGGCGGGAGAGGGAGGTTGAGTCGAGAGGAGGTGCACTTAGTGCTGGAGCAAGTCGAGCAGATGGCGGGGCTGCCGTCGCCGGGCCGTGCGGGCGAGGTGGACCGGCGGGTGGAGGCGGAGTTTGAGGCGATGTTCAGGGGGGGGGAGGGGGCGTGGGAGGGGGGGAGCGAGGCGGGCGTGGGGCGCGAGGAGTTTGTGGAGAGCATGATGCGGCTGCTGCAGCGCGTGGGCGATACGCTGCACGGTGCGTGCGAGGGAGCATGCAGCACATGGGGAGAGGCAGGGTGGCTCGGGTGGCTGGGAGTAGGAGGCGGGTTTGGTGGCATGTGCTGATGTGGCAGGCTTTAGACCTCAGGCGCAGTCACTCGTGGCCTCTCCCTCGCCCACATTTGAGGCGCCTCAAAAGTCACTCGTGGCCTCTCCCTCGCCCACTGACTTGCAACGGCTTGTGGAGGTGCTCTTCTCACTCACTCTTCTACTCCTTCCCCCAGACGACCCCATCCTGCTGTGCTTGGCAGATGGCGCCAAGATGAAGCGGCTGACAGCGGCTGACAGCGGAGGAGGGCGAGGAGCGGCTGTTCTCTCACTCTTCCCCTCCACCCCTCCCTCTCCCCCCTCTCCCCCGTGTCTCCCCTCCCTCAGACGACCCCATTCTGCTGTTTATGGCGGACGGGGCGAAGATGCAGCGGCTGATGGCGGAGGAGAGCGAGTTCGCGACCTTGGTGGAGGTGCTCTTCTCCAGCCTTGACAAGGACGGCAGCGGCACCGTCTCCGCCAGCGAGCTCAGGCCCGCGCTCTGCTCCATGGTGCACAGCGTCGGCATGCCCTTCTCTGCTCGTGAGTGCATGGCCGGCTCTCTACTACCATGTGTGTGACTGCATTGACTGCGTTGACTGCATTGACTGCATGTGACTGCATGTGACTGGATTTGACTGCATTGACTGCATGTGACTGCATTGATTGCATGTGACTGTAAGAAAAGCTCTAAGGAAGCTTTCTTAGCTCGCAACGACCCTGTCTGGCCCCTCTACATAGTTCCAGCTGTGCTCCTGAATGAATCCATTACTTCACTGAGCATACACGCTTTCCTATGATGATGAGAGAACAAACAGAAGTAGCTACACAACTACGCACACGCAGTTTTGTGGCTACCTCCCTGAAGATTCACTCCGGAGCGCATACCCTTCCCTCCCATGTAACCAGCCTCAAACCGTTTCGGGGTTTTTCTCCTCCGTGATGGCTCCGTGTCGCTAGCCATCGACGCTGCCTCTCACCTCGCTGCATGCCCCCTCCCCTACCCGCCCTCGTCACCGCTGAGCTGTACCCTTCCTGCATGTCCCTCTGCCAACTGTCGTAGCGCCCCACTGCTGCCAACCTCGGCCTGGGCACCCATCACTGTACCTCCCCTTTTATCGACATCACCCGGTACACCTCTTTGCTTCCCACCCCTTTTCCCTTGACCTACTCGAGTTGTCCCACGAATTTCCATAACACATTTGTTATGTCAATTCGTGCGACAGCATGCCCTGCCCTCTGCGCCATGGTGCACAGCGTGGTCGCGCCCTTCTCTCCCCTTGAGTGGGCAGCACTCAGGGACGCGCCCATCCCCCCTCCATGCCACGTGCCCATTCCCCCTCCATGCCACGCGCCCATCCCCCCTCCATGCCACGTGTGCCCATCCCCCCATCCCCCCTCCATGCCACGTGCCGTTCCCCCGCCATGCCACGTGCCCATCCCCCCTCTATGCCACGTGCCCATCCCCCCTCCATGCCACGTGCCCATCGATGCCACGTGCCCATCGATGCCACGTGCCACGCCGCTTGTTGTTTCCAAAGGGCCGTGCTTGCATCCCTTGTCCCGCCTGCCTGCCACATGCCCGCAGCCGTGTCTGCCCCTGGCCGTCGCCGCCTGGCCCTGGGCCAGCCCCTGCATTGCCCGCCTCCCTGCATGCTTCCCTCCCATGCCCGCCCGTTCCTGTGTGCGAGCATGCGCGCAGGCGGAACGTCGGGGGAGCCGCTGGTGGTGGTGGCGCAGCTGATGATGTGCACGGAGCGTGGGGACCCGCACCTTCATCCCCCTCTTAACGCTCTCTCTCCTTCTCTCTGCTCCCGACCTCCCTCCTCCCCCCCTCCCTCTCTGCGTGCTCGCAGGCAGCACGTCGGTGGAGTCGCTGGTGGCGCAGCTGATGATGACGCACGGCCATGGGCGCCTGGACCTCAACAGGGACCAGTTCAGCGCCTTCGTGCGGGTGGGTGGGAGTGATGGCAGTTGTGGCAGTCGTGGGACGGAGGGAATAGAGGGGGTAGGCGTTGGACGGAGGGAATAGAGGGGGTAGGCGTTGGACGGAGGGAATAGAGGGGGTAGGCGTTGGACGGTGGGAATAGAGGGGGTAGGCGTTGGACGGAGGGACTCGACTCGTGTGGGGAATAGTTGGTTGGAGGAGGCTTGTGGGGAGGAGAATCCACCTCTTCAGCACCCCATCTTGCCGTTTCTCACCCCCTCCTTCCCTCAGCCCCTCCGCCATCTCTCTCTCTCACTCGCCCACTTCCTTTTTCCCCTTCTCCATCCCGCTCGCCCATGACCCCCTCCTCCATCCCGCTCGCCCATGACCCCCTCCTCCATCCCCCTCGCCCATGACCCCCTCCTCCATCCCCCTCGCCCATGACCCCCTCCTCCATCCCCCTCGCCCATGACCCCCTCCTCCATCCCCCTCGCCCATGCCCCCCTCCTCCATCCCCCTCGCCCATGACCCCCTCCTCCATCCCCCTCGCCCATGCCCCCCTCCTCCATCCCCCTCGCCCATGCCCCCCTCCTCCATCCCCCTCGCCCATGACCCCCTCCTCCATCCCCCTCGCCCATGCCCCCTCCTCCATCCCCCTCGCCCATGCCCCCCTCCTCCATCCCCCTCGCCCATGACCCCTCCTCCATCCCCCTCGCCCATGACCCCCTCCTCCATCCCCCTCGCCCATGCCCCCCTCCTCCATCCCCCTCGCCCATGACCCCCTCCTCCATCCCCCTCGCCCATGACCCCCTCCTCCATCCCCCTCGCCCATGCCCCCCTCCTCCATCCCCCTCGCCCATGACCCCCTCCTCCATCCCCCTCGCCCATGCCCCCTCCTCCATCCCCCTCGCCCATGCCCCCTCCTCCATCCCCCTCGCCCATGACCCCCTCCTCCATCCCCCTCGCCCATGACCCCCTCCTCCATCCCCCTCGCCCATGACCCCCTCCTCCATCCCCCTCGCCCATGCCCCCCTCCTCCATCCCCCTCGCCCATGACCCCCTCCTCCATCCCCCTCGCCCATGCCCCCCTCCTCCATCCCCCTCGCCCATGACCCCCTCCTCCATCCCCCTCGCCCATGCCCCCCTCCTCCATCCCCCTCGCCCATGCCCCCCTCCTCCATCCCCCTCGCCCATGACCCCCTCCTCCATCCCCCTCGCCCATGCCCCCCTCCTCACCCATCCCGCCCTGCAGGACACGGTGTCTGACCTGGCAGCCAGGCTGGCAGCAAAGCCGGTCTACGTGGCACAGGAGGGGCAGGTGCTAGACGGCAGCAAGCTCAGACAGGTGCGGGGGGGGGGGGAGGAGAGGCGGGGGTGAAGTGCGAGCGCAGACAGGCGCTAGCGTCTCTCAGCAAGGGGCTGGTGGGAGAGGAAGGGGCGAAGCCAGAACAGCATGCTGATGGGGCTGGCGTTTCCCTCCCCACTCTTCCCCATCTGCTGAAACTTCACAGCACCAACGTCCCTTGCGCTACCCATGCCGTGCCTCTCAACCCCACAACACCCCATCCTGCCCTTGCAGATCCTGGGGAACCGGCGGCTGTTCCAGCGGGTGTGTGAGGACACCTTCACCTCGTGGGACATGGCCAAGAAGCGCTGCCTTACGCGCGCTGACATCAGCGCGGGGCTGGCGCGGTCGGGCATGTCGTGGGGGCTGCCGCCGCACAACGCGCGGCATGCAGAGCAGCTGTACGAGCGCTTCTTCCTCAAGGCCGACCTGGACCGGTCGGGGTCCATCGAGAGGGCGGAGTTCAATGTGTTCATGAGGGGGTTCTTTAGATCCATGGCGGATGAACTGGAGAAGAACCCTGTTGTGGTGCAGGCTTCGGTGGTTACCACCTGAACGCTGGTCTGGTCACTGGTAGGAATAGGATCATGTTTTGAGTGAAGCCCTTCACATGCTGTTGTAGTACTACTGGCAATTAGGTTTTCTGTAATGCTGTGTTTTTCCTAACAATATTCACCTGAGCAAAGCAGTCCATTCACCGTAACAGGACAGCAGCACATTGTAAGATAAGCTGTGTGCCTGACTGTGTGACAGAGGATTAGAGAGCTGAGCAGCTGCGTCTATAAAACTGAAGCTGCCAGCGCCTGAATGGGTTCCATGAGAAAAAAAGCACCTACAGTAAATGGGTCCCACTAGAGTACCAAGTTGAGAAGCCACAAGAGACATCTCCAAAAAACAGCGTCCCATCCCTCTCAACCTGTCTGTCTGTCTTGGTCTTGTGTAGTGCAGCGACAACACTGCAGCCCATCAGCTATGGCACCAAGCGGGTCTTGATGCGCCTGTGCCCACTACTGCCCCAACCACACCTACTGCACTATGCCCCTTACATTCCCAGCTTCCCACTGAAACCCTCTAATCTCCTCCGCTGCCTGCTGCTGCTGCTGCTGCTGCTGCTGCTGCTGCTGCTGCTGCTGCTGCTGCTGCTGCTGAACTTGTTAAAAGAGCCGCTCGTTACCATCAGCTGCTGCTGCTGCCACGTGCGCCAGGCCGGACGAGCTTGGTGGGCAGGCAGCAGCTATCCTGGGTTGGACGCCGACGCCACATGCCCCTGCGCCACCACCACACCTTCCTCACTCGCCCCTTCCTCCACACGCGCCCCCTCCACCCCCCCCCCCTCCCTGCTGCTCCCCTCCCTCTTCTGCATCTCCCCAACGCCACCAGCCTCCGCGTTCCCCTCGTGCCCTGCAGCCCCCCCGTTCTCCCCTCCGTCCTCCACCCCACGGCATCTAGCGGGAGGCGCCATGGCGGCCGGGCTGAGTAGCGAGAGCTCGTGTAGCTCATTCAGGACCCACTCCTTGCCCGTCTGCCCGCCCAGCACCACGGCCCTCGTCCCGCCCACCACGCACGTGCTGTGCCCCCACGCTATCCGCGGCTGCTGCCCCGGAAACGCCAGCTCCCTCCACCTCGGCTTCTCCTCGCCCGGGTCCAGCAGGTATACCTGTGACGGCGTGGGGCTCACCCCCGCGATTGACCCCCCGAACACCAGCACCCGCCCCCCTGGCAGCGCAAACGCCACGTGGTCCAGCCTAGGCGGGGGCGACGCTCCCCCTGGCGTTCCGCCCGTTCCCCCTCCGCCCCCTGCGCCGCTCCCGTTCGCCCCGCCCCCCGCGCCCGGGAGAGGCGCGTCGGGGGAAACCGTCCGCCAGTTAGGATGCTCGTCCGCGAGGTCGATAATAAAGGCGTCGTTGGAGCGCAGGCGCAGCGCGCCGCTGGTAGCCAGCCCGCCGAACATGAGCACCTTGCGCCCGCCCAGCGCGGAGAGCGTGTGGCCCAGGCGCGCGGGGGGCGCCCAGGCGACGCGGATCTCCTTCCAGGAGGGCGGGTTGTGCGCGAGGTCGAGCAGGAAGGTGTCGGAGAGCAGGCGGCCAGACGCCGTGCACCCGCCCGACACGACGAGCTTCGAGCCCTCCACCGTGCATGAGCTGTGCCACGACCGCGGGTGCGGCCGCTGAGGCGGCGTGGGCGGTGGTGGTGGTTGTGAGAGAGGCTGCAGGTGCTGCTGCTGGTGTTGGTGCGGCTGCCGCTGTTGCTGTTGCTGTTGCTGATGCTGCTGTCTGCTGTCCTGCTGTTGGTAGTCTTGTCTGGTGTCCGATTGCTGCTGGGTCGCCCCCTCTCCCTGCCCTTGTCTGAATACTATCTCGCCATCCCCTGCTGATTCAGCGGCTGTTCGACCGTCCCCACCACTTCTCAAAAGCAGCCCTTCGCCCACGTCGCTACCGTCCCCAGTGCTCACCCTACCAGCGCCGCCATCCCCGCCATCCCCGCCTTCCCCCGCCCTAGCGCCACCCCCGGCGCTGCTACTGCCCGCCTGCTCCCCCACGAGCACCTCGCGCCACTTGGGCTGCTTGTCGTCCAGGTCTAACAAAAACGCGTCGTTCAGCAGCCCCTCCCTGCCGCACCCGCCGAACACCACCAGCCCCGACCCGTTCACGCACGACAGCGTATGCCCCCACCGCCCGGGGGGCGCGGAACCTGCGACGGGCACATGCCTCCACTCGGGGATGTCCGACGCTAGGTCCAAGACAAAGGTGTCGTTGAGTGGCTGCATGTTAGCGCCCTCCCCGCCGAACAGCACCACCTTGCTGCCCACGGCGCACGCGCTGAAGTTGCACCGCGAGGGCTCCACGGACCCCTTTACAGTCACCTTGCGCCACGTGGCTGCTTCCAGGGTGGTTAATTCGCGCGCAATCTGCCCCCATTTGACTCGCTGCAGCCACTGCGACTTCTGATGGTTCTCGATCAGCTGCCTCTGCTGCTGCCCGCTACCCGCACACGCCTTCTTTCCTCTCTCGCCCTCCAACCCCCCTTCCTTTCCAACCGCTCCTTCAAATACCACCTTGCTCTTCCCGTGCCAGGCGTACCTCCCCCTGCGAATTACCTCCTCCGCCGCCTCCTCCTCTTCCGACTTCCACCCCACCGTCGCCTGCGCCTGCACGGCGGCTGTCGCCTCCGCGCCCCACAGGTGCTGGCACGCGCGCTGCCACACGTCCTGACTGACGGCTAGCTTCTTGAACCGCCGGCAGGCCATGGCGAGGGATGCGATGTCCCTGGGCCCCAGGTGGCACATCACTCTCTGCACCAGCACCTCGTCGCTCAGCTGCAACAACCCGCTGCCGCTGCCACCACCGCTGCTGCTGGGGTAACTGCTGGGGTAGTTGCGCCCGGGCCCCATGCATCCCCGGCTGCCCCCCCCCTCCCGCGGGCATTTCCGCCCGAACCCTGGAAAGGGGGGGTGGTCGCTGAGGCAGCAAGCGGGCCACGCGCTGCTGCTGCTGCTGCCCGGGGCAGTGCCGCTGGTGCTGGGCCCCGGGACGGGTGAGGGCTCACTGGGATCCGCACGGCTGCAAGGGCCGACGATTGGGCTGACTGGTGAACGGTCGGAGAGGAGACCGGGCTGCCTGGACGGCGGCCAGCGCGCAGCAACCACGGCAGCTGCGGCGGCGGCGGCGGCTGAGGCTGCCGCCCCCGACATGGGCAGATGCTGGAGCTCCTTGTGCGGCGGACCCGGCAAGGGGCCGAGCTCGACGTTGGTTTCTGCGAAGGACTGCACCCCGACGAAATGGGTTACCGCATTGGTGTCGCCTCCGCGAATAGGGGCGAGGCAGAGCGTGTTCATGATGGCGCTGCCGTCCTTGCGGAAGTTGAGGATCTCCCCGCAGAACTCGCGGCCCTCCGCGACACACTGGCGCAGACGCGCAACGGTGGCGGGATTCACGAGGGCGTGCGGCCGCTGCGCGAATGCCCCGCGATACTGAAGGAACCGACTGCGAAACAAACAAAAGGGGGTTTAGGGGAGATGCGGATTCGTGGTAAGAACGGGATGAACGAGCGGAACGGGGAAGAATAAAAAACAGATGTTGAAATAGACGGGATAAAATTGAAGGCGACGAACGAGACGGCTAAAGTACCAAGGTGGCTATTCAAACACTAAGTCGGCAGCATGAGCCTACCAATTTCGTCCAAGAATGTCCTCTGCGGTATAGCCAGTCAAGCGCTCGAACACGCTGTTCACATAGATGATAGGATGTTCGGGTTCCAACGCGTCAGAGACTATCAGACCGCACGGCTTAGCCGCCATAAGTGCCTCAATCGCCCGTCTACTCTCGTCGCTAACTCCTCGCAGGAATGACGGCAGCAACCTCGCTCCGTCTGACTCGCTGCTCCCGTCCCCTGCCGGCGCCACGCCGTCCTTGCTAATGCTGCTGCCGACCCCTCCCGGTCCGATAGGTCCAAACCCGCTCATTCCTGACTCGTCATCTGAATCGCTCGACCACTCCATAAACGCGAACCGATGACAACTACACGTTTTGAATGTATCCTGAACAATCCGTTCGGCAAATGGCTAACAGTTTCTTACCACTACACGGACCCTGATGCGTACGCGGAACTGTCGTTCGGCTGCTGAATATCGGATACAAGCGAAGAGAGCGACAGTTCAAGCTGCCGCGGAATCACCGGTATCTAACGTGCGCTGCTCTACGCTACGATGAATCGAGTCGACCTGGATCAAAATGGCGTAAAATCTCGGACCAAAACAACTTAGGCTTGTATTTCTGTAGACGGTGGCCAACCATGGAGCCTAAGTACAATATCTACAAAGGAACCGGTAAACAACTATTTGGTCAAGGTAGGGCAAACACCTAAGGGATTATCGCCGATAATAACAACGGATGCGATCATGAGTTGCCAGAAAGCTGCATGGAGATATAAGGAAGGAGACCTGAAGAGCTGTACGCAAGAACTGAAACTAGGTGCACCTGGAGTAGTTAGAATGCTGATAACAGTCATCCGAGGGCAGGTGTTGTGTTTCCCAGGGATCGCCGATAAAGAAGCATCTAGAAGAGAGGTGGATGGGTGGCGTGGCGTGGCCAGCCGGAATGTTTTGAAGGGGAGGATGGATGAAACCCTAGCTCTGTCCACTCCTCAACCAGCAATCCGTCAAGTCAGCATCTGACAGACGTTTCCCGCGTGCCCAAGCTGCTTGGAACAAGAAAACTTTCTTCGACCGCAATCGAAGCATCTCCGCCATTCAATACGATGCCACATACACAAAACCATAACAGACTGCCCGTTATCGCTTCAGATATTTCCGACAGAACAAAAGCTCCCGAACTTTTCTGAAAAAAGTGCAGATATTTTCTGTGTGCATTCTCCTCCTCAATCGATCCCGCTAGTGGCACCACTCTGTAGTGGCACAAACACAACGGCATTCACTGGTCAGCTCTCCCACGAAACAGACTCTGATCTGGGGCCAAAATTGAGCAAAATTTATGCCTACGCACTGGTGGTTCGTGATGACGGGGAAAACTCCTCGGGACACGTGAAGCTGATCGGGATGCAGAGGGAATCTCGAGGTTGCGGCAGAGAAGCAATCCGCCGACCTGCCTTCGAGAAGGATAAAGATATTTTTGCTGGGGTTTGGGGCTGGGGGTGCACAAGGCGGTTAAGATATTTGTCAAACTTCTTTCCGGCCTGACTGCCCATCCACGTGTAATGCAGCAGTTGTTCTGACTGGTTCTGCCAGCTCATATCTACGATTTGTGATCATGTGCCTTTCCGCGTGCCTCAAGTTTTGTTTCAACTGCCATTTTTTGCTAAACAAATAATTATTTTTTAATCAGCACTCCCATTCACCGTTATTTTCCTTCCTAAGAAACCGAAGTGGGGAATGTGGGTCTTGTTCAAACAAGGTTGGTTGTTAGGCTGACCATTAATGTTCTCTGTTCAATGGAGGTTGAGGGTGAGGCGAAGGATATTTGCCTGCACTCCACGTAACACGCGCGATGCAGGGAGAAACTGGCTAAGCCCAGTTGTCCGCACCACGTCCACAGCTCTCCTCCACGTGTCAGCAAACCACATCCTCCCAGGAAAAAAAAGCTCCCACTTTTTCCAACGTCCATGAGATATAAATCCGTGGGGTTCAGATATTTTTTCGAGGTGGGGCAGTCACCAGTTCCCAAGGAGTTTTCTGTCGCGTTGCTGTCAGACTCACACACACCGAAACTCTTGCCTGGCTGTGAACCACTCTCCGTTCTGTATTCGATCTTGCATTTCCTTCGCTGCCCGTCTCTCGGCATTCCTCTTCCACCTCCTTTCCTCCCATCTGCTCCTCTCTTCCCTTTTTCAGGCTTATTCACTGATCTCAGATGCTAGTGTTCCATTCACAGTTCTGGACTGCGTTCTTGCTTATTGCTAGTTCTCTGCCTTGCCTGCTTAGCTTGCACCAGGCGTGATTGATTATGGCGGTGTAGAGTACCACAGCACCGCTTTGCTGCAGACTGTCCGTCTTAATTCGCAATCTTATTTATTAGAGCAATCCGGATTCATGTCAGGAGCCATTGTGCCATCCGCCGGCCAGGAGCAGCGCCGGCCGTGCGACGTGGCGGCGTTTCAGCGGAGCAACGTGCACATCCTGCTGTCCGATAAGGACACGGAGTCGCGCCAGAATGTTCTCGAGCTGCTTCGCCGCTGTTCGTACCAAGGTGCGAGAGAGCGTCTATATTTCTACTTGAAGCCGCTTCCGCCTCGCGACAAAGATCTCGGATAGATGCCTTCCAGTGATTTTTTCCTTGCTTGGATTGTTTCGCGTGAGATTATTACTTCATGGATTTTGTTTCCACTTGAATCGTTTTTTTCCCGAAGAAGGACATGAGATGCATTAGAATACTCATGTGTCTCCTTGTATCATCAACGTCTCACCTTCCTACCTCGCGTGCCTGAACCCCATCCAGTGACGGCCGTCGAGAACGCACGACTGGCGCTGCAGCTGCTGCGGTCGTCGAGCGACACGATAGATTTGATTCTGGCGGAGGTGGAGCTGCCCAACGGCAAGGGGTACAAGATGCTCAAAATCATCATGCGCGAGGAACGCCTCAAGAAGATCCCCATCGTCAGTACGTGCTTCTCCAGGCCTCTCGGAAATATCCAGGGTAGTTTCACGACTCGGTACTTCTCTCAGCTTTTCGAGGGGACGCTCGGGAGTTCTGTGCCCTCTCTCACTGCGTCATGTCCTTGCCGGCGTTCGTCGTTCTACCTGAGCGTCTCTGCCGGTTCTCACCGCGACTTGCCGTCACTTCTTACAGATTTGGGCGGACTTGTTCTGAAGCATTGTTTTGAACATTTATCTGGGTCGCTTCGTGCACGTCACCGAATATCGTCCTCACACGCGCCTCGTCTCCATCTCGTGTCTCTCTCTCGTTTCCTATCTCCTCCGCGCTCCGTCCCGTGTGCTCCTGCTATCAGTGATGTCGACGCGCGACGAGATGGCGATCGTGGTAAAGTGTCTGCGCCTGGGCGCGGCGGACTTCCTCGTCAAGCCGCTGCGCACCAACGAGCTCCTCAACCTCTGGACGCACATGTGGCGCCGCCGACGATCCGTGAGCGCTCTCTGCCCTCCCCGCCCTCCCCGCCCTCTCCGCACTCTCCGCCCTCTCCACGCTCTCCACCGTTTTTGTTTCCGCTGATATCTCTGTCTGTGATTCGCTCACCGCGACGTTCCCTTTTTCGATGGGTTCGCGCTCGTTCGTCCCCCGTTCGACGCTCACTGATAGTGCGTCGCGTGCATGCGTCTCCCACCGGTACGCTGTGCGCTTTCCTCCTCCTTTCCTGCTTGCTGGTCGGCAGCGGCGGCATCTGGTGCCGATGAGCTCGAGCGAGCGACCTATCGCACGACTTAGAGTTCGTGGGTACGAGCGAGTCCCTCTCAGCGCGTATTCCCCTTTCCGCCCTTCCTACTCTCGTCTTATCTGCAGGTCGGCTTGGCCGAGCCTGCACGTCCTCTGGTCCCTCTGAGCGCGAGCGAGCTGTCGCACGACTTCGTGCTTGTGGATGCCAAGTCCAACACGGGCACCGGCAGCACTAACTTTCCTCTTCGCTCTACTCTCCCTCTCTCACCTGCAGGTGGGCCTGGGCGAGCCTGCACGGCCAATGGTCCCGCTGAGCGCGAGCGACTTATCGCACGACTTCGTGTTCGTGGACACGAGCGAGTCCAACACGGGCACCGGCAGCACGGACCTGTTCTCCGAGGAGACGGATGATAAGCGGCGCAGCAGCGTGCAGCAGCAGCACCTGCAGCAGCAGCTGGCGGAGCAGCAGGAGCAGCAGCAGCAGCTGCACGAGCTGGAGCAGCAGAACCAGCAGCAGCAGCAGCAGCAGCAGCAGGAGAAGGTGCAGAAGCGGCAGCTGCTGCTGCTTCAGGAGCAGCAGGGGCAGCGGCAGGAGGCGGTTGAAGAGGAGAGGAGGCAGGAGCGGCAGAGGAAGGAGAAAGGGGCAGAAAGGGACGACACGTGGCGGAACAGGGGTGCACAGGGAGTGGAGGGGGAGAGGCAGGGGGAGGGGGAGGAGGAGATGTTACAGCGGGAGGAGCGAGAGCAAGAGGAGGCAGAGGAGGGCCGGCAGCAGCGACGGGAGCTGATTCTGCTGGAGAAGCGAGAGGCGGGCGGGGCAGGAGGGCAAGACGGGGAGGAGGCGGAGGAAAGGGAGGACGACGAACAGCCGTTGAAGAGGCGGCAGAAGAGGATGGAAGGCGGAGCAGTGGAGGCGGGAGGAGCGCACAAGAGGAGGAGGATTCCGTGCGCCGAGGACGGAGAGGAGCTTCCGCGCCACCAACAGGTACGCACCTGTTGCGCTGCTATTGGCGTGCGTACTCTTCTATTTCCTTCTCCCCGCTTCCCCTTTTCCTTCCGCACCACCCCACCGACCCTGCTCTCTCCCTCTACCTTTCCCCTCACTCCGCTATCTCTCGCTCACCCCTCGTTTCGCATCCCCCCTTTTCTCCCCTTCTCTCGTTTCCGCCACCCTCCCCAGCAGCCAATGCCTGCGCTCGAGCTCTCGCTCATGCTGCCACGTGTCGGCCTCCCATTGGACCCGCCTTTCCCGTCTGCTCGCCGTCTACCCCCTGACCGACCCCCTCTCGTGGCCCCAGCGCCTGCTCTTCCGTCCCCAGCGGCGTTTACGCTCAAGGCGTCCAGCCCTCTTCTCGGTGCTGCCGTGTCCCCTGCCATGCCCCCTGCTCCCGCCACTCTCTTTGCGCTCTGCACCTCTGCCATGGCAACTGTGTCATCGGCAACACCGCCCGTACCACATGCCGCTGCTGGTGCTGCTAGTGCTGCTGGTGCTGCTAGTGCTGCTGGTGCTGCTGCCGCTGCTGCTGATAGTGCTGCTGGTGCTGCTAGTGCTGCTGGTGCTGCTGCCGCTGCTGCTGATAGTGCTGCTGGTGATGCCTCAACTGCAGCAGCCGGCCTCTCTTTATCGCCGTCCAACCCATTCAGCACTCACCCTGCGGCCCTCGCCGCACCCTATCACATGCTGCTGCGCCGAGCAGTTTCCCACGAGCCCTCCTCCGCTCCTCTCTTCCCCGCCTCCCTCCCGTACTCCTCGCCTAACGTGTCTCCCTTCCAATCCTCTCCTCCCGGCCATCCATCCCATCTGCTGGGCTCTGCTCCTCCCACCACTCGTCCTGCACTGGCAAGTCCCCCTCTGCCTTCCCGCCTCGCGCCCTTCCTCCCCTCTGCGCTGTCCGCGCCCGCACTCGCCTCCGTGCCCGCCCTCCCCACGCGCACCATCAGCCAGCCAGTCATGCCGTCCGCTTCGCTCCTCCGCCCTCCCGCACGCCGCCAATCCCAAAGCCCGCCCGTCCCCTCGTCCCCCGCTTTCGCGCCTGTTTCCACTACCGTTGCACCTGCGCCTGCATTCACCGCCCTGGCGTCCGGTGCTTCCGCTGCTCCTGCTGTGGGCTCGCCGCCCCTGAGGGGGTCGCCTGTCCGAAGGGCATCGCCAGCACCGCTCGTCCCGAGGGCAAATGCCGCCCTGAAACGGCCAGCTGGCGAGGCGGTGACAGGGCGGGAGAGGGCGGGGAGTGAGGCGAGGAGGCAGCAGCAGCAGCAGCAGCAGCAGCAGCAGCAGCAGCAGCAGGGCAGTGAGCAAGCGAGGAGGAGGAGTCCTGCGGTTGGCAGGCAGGGAGTGGGCAGCACCCCGTCGCCGTCCAGCAGCAAGACACCGGCGCCAATGGCCCCTCTCGCAGCACCCAGGGCGAGTGGCAGCCCACGGGGGCTGCAGCATCCAAGGGATGCGGCAACAAGTGTACGAGGGAGGGACTGCTCAGCGGGAGGAGAGGGCAGAACGAGGGGGGATAGAGTGGAGGGAGTGGAGGGCAGTGAAAGAATGAAGACTCGGGAAGAAACGAGGGGCATGGCCCAGGGCATGCTTCAAGGCATGGCACGGGACGGCAGTGGGGCAGAGGCGAACGTGAGTGGCGGCAGCAGCGGCACCCTGGTGGCGGGGCACAGCGCGGCCTTCTGGAACCACATGATCGACCGCAGCGGGCTCCGCGGCTACCTCCCACACTCCCCGCCCACCCCCCCTGCTTCCGCACCTAGCCTACCTGCTTCGGCACCGAGCCTGCGTGGTGGATCGCCGAGCCTGCGTGGCGGTGCGGGGAGCTTGGCCGGGTATAAGAGGCAGGTGTCAGGAGTGCGCTTGGAGCAGGGCTCTGGGCAAGGTGCTAAGTCGCCCTCCCCTGCGCCCTCTCTTGCTTCGGTTCCCTCTGCCACGGCTGCCCCGTGTGCCTCAACTGCTGCCGCTGCCGCTGCTGCAGCTGCTACCAGCAGTGCGGCTGGTGCCGCCAGTGCTGTGGATCCCGTCAGGGCACAGCGCCAGGGAGTTCCGGCTCCCCTGCCTCCCACCACCCTCCCTCCGGCGGCGCTGCGTGATCGCTCTCCCTACTCTGCGGCTCACCATCCTCACACCCACTCGTCAGACCTCTTTGCCGCCCAACACGTCACTCAACCCCAGACCCCTGCAGACCGTTACTTTGCCGCCCAGCATCAGCAGCAGCAGCACCACCAGCAGCAGCAGCAACAGCAACAGTTTCTGCATCAGCAGCAGATGCAGCCTGATTTCCACTCGCCACCTGCCGTTCCATCTCTCCCCCTCCACTCAAACGTTGCAGTCGCCGCTGCTGCTGCCGCCGCCGCTGCCGCTGCGTCGGGCCTCCCACCCCAACATCCCATCGTTCAGTCTCTCGCGGCCGCAGCAGCTGGTAACGCCATGCACCAAATGCAACAGCAGCAACAGCAGCAGCAGCAACAGCAGCTGCATCAGCAGCAGATGAACCAGCAGCAGCAGCAGCAGCAATACCCCCCTTCTCACCACTCACACGCTCTTGCAGCTGCAGCGGCTACATTCGCCCATCTACCCCCGGAAGCAGCAGCAGCAGCAGCAGCGGCCTTTTCTCGCCTCCCTCCTGAGGCACTTGCAGCCGCAGCAGCAGCTGCTGCTGCTGGGTCATCCAGCCACGCCCATGCCACACTCCCTCCTCCCCCCTCTGCCAACCCCTTTTCCTTCCTCTCGTCTCTCGCTGCTTCTGCTGCTGCTCCTGCCGTTGCCCCATCCTTGCCTTTCCCAGGCATGTCAGGGGCAGCACAGTTCCTAGCACCGGGAGCAGCCGCCGCGGCAGCTGCCGCAGCAGCAGCAGGGGGGAGTGGCATGGGTGCGTTCAACCCTGCCTTCCCCTTGGCATCCTGGCCCGACCCCTCTGCTGCCGGCATGCTTTTCAACCCTGCCTCTGCTGCTGCCTCTGCTACCGCTGGGGGTGGGGCGGGAGGAATGGGAGGGATGGGAGGAATGGGAGGCGGGGGAGGAGGGGTGATGGTGGGGGGTGGAGGGACGAGTGCAGCGGGGGGGGTGATGGAGAGGCGGATGGAGGGGAATGAGAGGCGGGAGGCGGCGCTGAACAAGTTCAGGCAGAAGAGGAAAGACCGGTGCTTTGAGAAGAAGATCCGGTATGTGAGCCGCAAGAGACTGGCGGAGATGCGGCCGCGCGTGAAGGGGCAGTTTGTGAGGAAGAAGACAGTGGGCAAGGGGAATGCGGGGCAGCAGGAGAGTGAGGATGAGGACGAGGAGGACGAGGAGGAGGAGGAAGAGGAGGACGAAGGGAACGAGTAGGTGCTTGTTGGGGATCCTGGAATGCCCCAGCTGTGCCATAAAGTGTGGTTTGCAGCATGCCGCTGACACAACGTGTGACACCTCCCTTAGTCATGCACACCCCCCACCTCTGTCTCCCCCCATATCCCCTCCGTCGTCTGCAACCTGCCACTGGTGTTGTGGGGTCCACGTGTTGTGTTTTTTGCTCCCGTGAGTTGCTCTCGTGGGTTGCTCTTTATGACTTCAGGGTTACTCTATTAGGCAAACTACACTAGGCTAATCATGTGGCCTTGGCTTGAGTAGCTTGGCCTCCTTATTTACTTACAGTACATAACAATGTTGGACAATGTACACTGCGAATATTTGACTCGGATCGTTCGTGTTGGAACTGCTGCGTGCAGCAAAATATATTCCTTTCTGTTAAAACTAAGCTAGGACTAGGTAGGAGAAGGAGCCATTGATGGCGTGAGGTTTTAGGCTAGGGTGCAAGAGTTGGGGAGAGAAAAGAGAATCAGAATAGAAGAGAGAGGGATACAAGAAGGGGTGTTGTACCCTCTACAATAAAGTTCAGTAAACCTACCAAGCCTACAATTATATACTACCATATATAATTTAACACACCCCCTAGGCTTGGTAGACTCAAGCCCACACACACCCACACCCCCTAACCTAGCACCCTCATTCCAGCCACAGTGACAGCGACACTAGCTCGATCGACCCCTCGGCGAGTGAGGCGGCGATGTCGACCGCAGGGGCTGCAATGGCGACGGCGGCAGCGGCGGCAGTGTCGACAGCGGCGGCGGCTTCGACAACTGCAGCGGCGGCGGCGGCGCCCGCACCTCTCGGTGACGTGGCCAGGCCCCGCGACGGTGGGACGGCCGGCGGGAGTCCGCCGTCGTCTGCGGAAAGGAAGAGGACACAGGGGAGGAGGGGGGGGGGCGCCACAGGCTGGCATGCGGGCGGCCGGTCTAGCGGCGCCACAAGCGTCGCGCGGCCGGCTGCAGCCCGACGGCGCCGTCACAGAGCGGCGTCGACGCCGCAGCGGGACGTCGACGCTGCGACGGCAGCACGACGACCCGACACCACGGCAGCGCGTCGAGACGGCCGCGGCACGACGCGGCCAGCGGCATCACGACGCCGCCACTGCAACAAAACGCGGCCGCCATGGCCGGCAGAAGAAGTAGCCACTGGGACCCAAACACCGGTGCCAGCTTGGTCGGTCTTCGAACAGGGGATGAACAACCACATGCAGTCCCGATCGAACTCGATCTGGTGCCACTGGAGGGAGATGAGATCAGACAAACGAAGGAAGGCTGCGAACATGAGGAGGGGAATAAGGTCCTGCTGGAATGTGGCCGGATCATGCGATGAGAAGTAGATGTCACAGATATCGTAAATCTTGGCTGGAGGAATGGTCTCCTTAGCTTGAGATGGCCTGCCACAATGACGCATGGCATAATCCTTGACTTGCGAAGAAAAGGGGCCTCGAATCGGGGAGGGGTGGCCGACCAGCCAATGGGCGCAGGATATGGCGGAACACGCAGTGCGCACAGCTGAGACGGTAGCGCGGCGACGGAGCGAGTGCAGCAGAAAGAGGGCCGCTGTCAGGTCGGTGGCGGGAAGGAAGGGAAGTGAGTACGCCAAACAGAAGGCTCGAAACTGTCGCCAATAGGGTTCATAAGTGCGAAGGGTAGACTTTGCCCGAAGATCGACGGTGAGTGTGAGAAGGTCCGACAATAATGGACCAATATATGAGCCCTACGTAGTGAAATAAAAGTATACATTAGTTGAATGCAAAACGAAGCGCATACATCAGAGAGTTCGGAAGATTGGAAACGCTAAAGGCATAACGGTCACAGCCAACGTGTAAACAACTAGCACCAAGGGTAAGGCAAAGGGCCATAACGACCTCCGGGCCCCAAGTGAAGCCGTCCAGGCTTAGCAAAGGCCACCAAAAAGCACTGGGCCAATATGGGATCACGAGAGTGAGAGTACTATGCGAACGACGAGCATGAGCTAGGACAGCCGGGATGAGGGCGGGTGGAGGAAAGGCGAAGCAGTTCTCGTGTCCCCAATTAATAGAAATGGCGTCTTGCACAACCACAGAGTGTGAGAACTCGAGGGAGCAGAAACGAGCGAGACGCGCATTGGCAAGGGATGCGAACAAGTCAATGGTATGAGGCCCCCAATGCCTCTCAAGCAGCAGGAACCAAGGTCGTATCAAGGAGTAGTTGTCGTGGAGCTCAATCTTGGATAGAGCATCGGCCTCGGTATTTGGCGCACGAGGAATCCATTGGACCGTAAGACGGATCATATGGCGCACGCACAAATGAAAAATCGCGCGGCATACGAAGGTAAGCTCGGGACGGCGAGAGGCTCCCTTCTAGAGGATGTAGTAGGTCGCCTGACGGTCGCTGCGGAGCAAGATGTGCGAACACCGGATTTCGACAGAAAAGGCCGAAAGGGACCAAAAGATTATGGCCAGCTCGCAAAGGGTACTGGACGAGCCCAAGAGGGCTAGAGGCAGCGGGGAGGAGAGCGAGCCGACACGACCATCCAGCGCCGAATAACAAGCCCCCCAGGCATGGTCGCTAGCATCCACATACATGACAACGTCATACAAATGCGGGTTGTGGAAGCGGGCGCCGTTGAAAACGTCGAACTGTGTAAGCAAAAAACGCAGCTCTTCAACGGACTCAGGGGTTAGGAGAATGGCCGCCCCTCATGAGTGGCATTCGGCGATCTGCGCGAGAAGGTGGTGGGAAAAGGCTTGCGCGACAGTGCCAAGTGCCAAGGACATGGAGGCCAACATACCAGTGATGCGGGCGGCGCGGCGAACAGGGATGCGACGCCCGTTAGCGCCGAGTGTGCCTAATTCATCCAGCTCGGCAAAAAGCCGGTTGCGCCGATCCGCATCGATAGAGAATGTGGTGGTGCGCGTGTCCAGCAAGAGGCCCAAGAACTTCAAAGATTGTGCCGGCGCGAGTTGTGATTATTTTTTTATTCACAACAAAGCCCGCGGCTGTGAGGTCGGCAATGATTATGGAGCGGTTGTGAAGTGCCTCCGTTCGAGTGGCACTGATGAATAGGATATCATCGACGTATGGAATAAGGCGGATGTCACGGCTACGCCAGCGTTTAGAGAGTTGCTTAATTAACTGGGTAAATACAAATGGCGCTGTAGCCAGCCCGAAAGGCAAGGAGGGGAATTGGTAGTCCTGCCCTTGCAGAGAGAATCCGAAAAACTGCCAAAAGGCAGGGTGAATGTCGATGTGGCGGTTTCCGGATTTGAGATTGATCGTGAATAGTCAATCGCCTTCTTGCACCAAATCAGGAACGTGAGTAAGTCTTTCGTTTCGAAAACGAGGTACCGAGAGGAATGAGATGACATGCCGCAAGTCCAATATCATCCTCTTTCTAGAGGGTTGGACAATCACGTTTAATGGGCTAACGCATGTAAGGGTTGCCGAAGGAGATACGACCCGAGCTGCGCCGGTGGCGAGAAGCTTAGCCACTGCACCTACTGCGAAAGAGGTGAATTGTAAGGCAACGGCATGATTCTTAGTACGAGACGGAGGGGGCTCAGAGGCAACCCATGGTAGCCGATATCCATATGTAATCACCGATAGAATCAAGCGGCTATCGCACCACGGTGGGTGCTATGGAAGTGGTCGCGGGCAGTGGCAAGACGATCAGGGAGGCGGGTGGCAAGCAGGTAGAGGGCAGAGCAGAGGGGAGGCTGAAAGGCTCTAAGCTGTGTCTCAGTGCAGGCAGCACGCCAGGTCGCGTCTATCGTGCGCAGGTGAGCGGCTAGGTCGGCGACAGAAGGGAAGGACGCAAGGTCAGGGAAGAGCACCGGCAGGATTAGGCGACCTACAGAGGCAGCAGGCGGGGTGGAATACCACTTGACGGCGGCCTCTAGAATCTCCTGCGCAGTCGTGTCTGACCTAAAGCGTGGGCGCTCAGTCAGGGGGAGGGCATGACTGATCGCAAGCTGCGCGACAGCGTCACGCGACAGCCAAACTGAGCGGGCAAGGGCAGCAGCTGCAGCGGATTCACGGTCAGCGGACGAGGGGTCAGCGGGCAGGGGAGCCGGGGGGTCAGGGCAGGGGAGCGTACCGTCAAGGTGGACCGCCAGGGAGTGGCCGTCCTGCCGCTGACCAGTGAGGTGACACCGGAGGTCGACCAGCCACGTGTCAAACTCGATCGGCTGTCCCTCTGCGTCGAAGCGAAGCACGGAGTCCGCCATCAAGAGCGATGCAGCAGCGGCGCAGTGCTGTATGGTGCAGAGCGGTGCAGTGCGGTGCTGTGCGATGCAGAGCGGTGCAGTGCGGTGCAAAGTGGTACAGCGCGGTGTAGTGCGGTGCTGTGCGGTGTAGAGCGGTGCCTAGCGGTGCTGGTCGGGAAGGACGAGCTGGGCACGAGTCGGAGGTGGGCGGCGGCGAAACGAACGCGGGCCCGGCAGGGAGCGGGCGTGAAGAGGCCGGCTAGGAGAGAGCGCGGGGCCAAAATGGGGCGGGTGCAAGGGGCCGGTATGGGGCGAGCGCGATGGGGGCGCGAGGGGCCGGCTAGGGACGGGCGCGACGCCTCAGGGGAGGGGCCGGCTAGGGACGGGTGCTACAGGTGGGACGGGCGCGACGGCTGGGACTCGTACGCCACCATTCGGGGTTGGTGTCGAGATGCTTTCTCCCGTGTCGGCCTCAATCCGGCCCTCCTGGGCACCCATTCTTTCCGCAAGGCGGCTGCGACGGTCGCCGCTGATGTTGGAGTCCCCAACCGGCTTTTCAAGGCCCTCGGCCGCTGGCGAAGTGATACAGCCAAGGGGCTTTACATTACTCAGCTTGACCGCGAGCTAGTGGCCTCTTCTCGCACGCTACAAGATCCTACTCGCTCGAGCGCGACCGATCGGTACCAGGCCATCCTCGAGCGCCACCGCCGATGACCTCCCACTTGATGTCTCGTTTAACCTATGACGACTGCACTGCACACTCCTCTGAGGTCGTGTTACAATATGAGATTTTTTTTGTAATAAAAATTTTACAGATTGTGATTCGACTAGAAGAGGAGTTTGCTGTAAAGGAGACAAACTCCTTCATCAATCGGCAGGTCTTTCACACCTGCCACCTAGTCTCATTTGCATTTTTCTGTTCCAACTTGCCCACCCTTCCCTCCCTCGCTTTGATAACTAGCATGGCCTTCTCACCTTTGTTCCCTTGCCATGTATTTGCCCTATCTAGTGTGCTGTATTATGGAGCTATGATATGCTATGACGACTGCACTGCACACTCCTGAGGTTGTGTCACAATCCCTTGCCCACATATCACTTGCCCACATATAGCATGCCCACAGATCCCTTGCCCACACATCTCACGC